ACTAATCATTTTTAAATTCTTACCTGGAACAACAGTGTCCAAAAGTGTGTCATAAATCTTTTTTAATGAAATATGTAAATATAGCATGTATTATTTTTGCAACAAAAGACAAAAAATTGGAATCTGTAATCATTTTTTTTTTATATAATAAATAACCTGCAGTAGAAAGTAACAGCAAACCTGGCACTTTACGTTGCTGTGATTTCACGCGGAAGCAGAGCAAGCCCACACTTTTTCTTGTTAACAGTTTTCAATATAAATCAATAATGCATGCTTGCTGGCAGGCTCAGCGGTGCTTAGCAGTGATTTCACAGACTGGTACACCCAGGAGTAGGCAGACAGGAAGGCAGCTGGGAAGCAATTTTGCTACACTGTCGATGATGAGTCCCCAGTGAAACAGGTGCAGGGTTGCAGCAGGAGTAAGTCCAGTTGCAGTGTGCAGGTATATCTAAAAAAAATTTAAATGGTCTTGAAAATGTTTAGATTTTTAGAATAAAATATTTCAAGCCTTTCTTTCTTGAAAATTTTATTATTTTGGCCAAAGAAAAATACATACTTATATTTAGTGTCAGAGAAATTAAAATAAATAAAAATAAAATAGTCTTTACAGGGTTAATAATGCATTGTCTGTTTTTTTAAATATATTTTTAACAGATGTCCTGAATTTTGAAAAGTATTTCCAATTATACACCCTTATTAGTTTGTTCTTATTATGTGTAATGGAAGCTCATCTGATGGCAGCTCTAAGATAAACTGTAGTGTACAGTGTCATTTCTCTCACCTTCCTTAAAAACTAAACGATAGCTCATGTTTTGGGGCATAAAATTGTTGGCATCTTCATAAAGCTTGTCATCGAAAATGACTATGAAGTGATCTAATATTTCTAGTAGATGACTTGATGACTTCCCATTGGTCTACAAGCAAAGTGGATTCTGTGCCTCTAGACTTCTTTTCTTGTGTCTGAGTTGGTTCCTCTTTTAATGTATCATTTCCTGGACCTTAGTTTTCCTATTTTATTGAATTTCTCTTAAAAACGTTTTTAATTTTTATATGCCTACCTCCACGCCGCATGTACATCCTGCTCGTCACTATTATATGACATTAATAAACTCAGCACTTTTTTTAACTTCTTCTTAAGAACCTTCTCCCTGGCCTGTAGTTTTCTTGGTCTAAAATTTTCTATTTATTTTTGCCAAATGTTGACAAACAGAGCTTCACAAAACATTTAGTTGTACTTGATTTTTGTAAGGGGTATCAGAATGAGAGGGGCTTAATGTAGATATTTGACTGAAAAGAAATTGATACGGGTCTCCTCTGTAACCTCTGGTCTAGTTTGAAGCCTCTTCTCCATCTGTCTCAAATGTACTTTTGTAAGATCAGAAAAGCAAGTGGTGCAGATTATATAACAACCTTGTTTTGTCTATTTGCTCAGTGCACCTGTGGCTAAAGCCTAGCTTAGCATCATTACCATCAAGGTACTGTATGAATGACCTAATATAGTGTGGAAACCTTTGGACAAGTTTGACGTTATAAAGAATGATAAGTACGGATAACTTTCTTTTACTAAAGGTCACTTTTCTATTACATATATTAAATGAAAAAATACTTTGAAGTTTGTGGTTATATATTGTGGAACAATTTGAGATACAAAAAGTCACGTGATGATAAATATTTTTTGTTAAAATGAACCTGAAGGTTTGAAATAAACCTGAAGCTTTATTTCTCCTCACCTTTATCAAGTGATGCCTAAATGCTGTTGTTCTTCCTCTTCCAAATTGACACTGCCGTTTTCTTTCAATTATCCTTTTAGAGAGAAATTCTATCATCTATTCAAATGCCATTATTGAGGGATCGGAGTTCACTGCAAAGGAGATCAACAGCGAAACCAAGAACTAGCTCCATGAACATGACAGTTGAAGTAGAGTATACTCAGTGCAATCAGTAATAATTGTTTGCCTTTTAATTAACAACATGAGAAGGCATTAAAAGCTGGATTAGCACTTGATTACCTTGAGCCTTGCAGTTTTGTATGAAGGTCATTTCAATCTGAAAAACTAACACGAAGAAAAAAGACAATTAGGAAAAATTTATTGATACAATTACTTGGTCTTTGGCGTTCAGACCTCGGCAGGAAACATAGCCCTTACTTTTGATAGATATGCATGAACAGGAGCAAAGAATAGAGCTTTTCCCCCCAGGCCTGAAACTGGTGGTGGAGTGGTGATAGATGAAGTTGGTCAGTCTGTAGACTGCTGGTTAGCGAGATGGTATGCTGAGCTTTATGGAGAGATCCAGTGGACTGCGTGAGCTGATATGAAGCTTCACTCAGGGACCTGGGATATTGATAGATATGCATGGACAGGAGCAAAGAATAGGGCAGTCCCCCCCCCCACAGAAATTGCTGAGGTTGAGGCCGATACGACAGCATGCTCAGAAGGCAGAGACTGAAATGAAAGCTAAGAAAATTAGAACAGTAGGAGTAGTAACAGAGGAGATGAGCCACAAAGGCTTACAGAAAGGCCACTGCCGCGAAGGCTTACCAAAAGAGGGCCAAGGCCAATTCCAGTAAAGATCTACCAAAAGAGGACCGGTTGCCACGAAAGGCTGCCAAATGTTTGTGAAGGGATGATGAGGTGAGGTCAGGTGAAGTGAGGTGAGGTGAATGGTGATGGGATGAATGATGGGATGATTACTGGGATGAATGAGGGGATGATCCTCGGATGATTGCTGGGATCAATGAAAGGATGAATGATAGAAGGGAGCCTAGTAAACCATATAGCATGACGAATTACAGAAGATAGGTGAGTGTTGAGAAGGAGGTATAAAAACAACTGAAATAATCAAACATTCAGATCTGATGGAGGATATAAATGAGCTTTGAAACCCCCACCAGTATTTGAAGTTTGCTTACCCTTAAAGGCTGAGAGAACGTTGAACAGTTTGAAAGGAAGAATGCATGCTCAGGCGGATATATTAGCCATAGGCTGAAGGCCATCAGCCCCGTTGCCGAGAAGCTCAAGGAGACGTCACAAAACACTGTTGTGGCTGTTCCATTTGAATGAATGGACCGACAACGCAAGCTACAGTTAATGGATTAACCTCATGGAGAGAATTAGAAATGATGAGGATAGCAGCCATCAACTGCGAACCATTTGAAATAACCCCCCCAAAATTTATGGATGGGGCATCATCCATAAGATTGAAGCATGCTGCAGACAGAATGATGATAGTAGAAATATTACTGATCCAACCGAGAAGCAGTATAGACAAAAAGAAAAGTCAAAAGGCAACCGATGGGGATGATGCGCGTGGCAAAATAGCTGACCAAGCAAGGAGACAATGATGCTTGAAAATAATGCATTGATGACTGTGGTGATAACAGCAATGAAGCTCTGGCTGAGCGCTCTAGCGATGAGCTAAGGGTGCGAGCAGAGAACGCACGCCCATGCTATAATGAGCTGGGGACATGATACGCGAGCCAGGATGAGCTGAGAAAGTGAGATGGGGACGCGATGATCTAAGCTAACCCGCCAGCTGTGATGACCGAAGATGAAACAAGCAAGCTGCAATGGTTAAGCTAGATGTTTCAGTCGAGATACGTAATCCATGATGAGTTAAGGGGTTCAAAGTGAAGCGCCTTGTGATGCGAACCCATGGATGGGTTTGGGTGCGATGCTCCTGTGCAATGAGCTGAGGGGTCGTAATGCACCTGCTGCGATGAAAAGGTAGCGCCATAAGTGCTGCTGCGATGGGTTAAAAGCACAATGCGCGAGGCAAAGACCTGGGGGCCGTAATGCACTGGCTGTGATGGAAAAGGGCGACATGAAGTGTCATGGTAATGGATAAAAGTGGCATGCGTCTTCCTCAATGGGTATGGGCGCCATGGAGCGCCTGTCACAATGCTAGAAGGCAGCATAAAATGCCCGCCGCGAAAATGCCAGCATAACGCCCGCAATAAGGCGCCTGGCGCGAAGTACTGTTGCGATGGATGGAGGGTGCCTAAGCACCCGCCACGATGAAACACGTCTAACATGGTACAGATTTAGATAGAAACAATGCGCTGAGGGGAATGCCGGTGACTGTGCTGACACTGGGACATGCAGTTGATGATGATCTGAAACTAGAAGCAGAGATTATGAATGCAGTGGGCTACATAATCACCAACAACAGGCGTATCACACACATAGCTTCCTAGGGGGTCAGTAAATGACTTGTGACTTTTAACAACACTTATCTACACAATTCAAACATATAAACAATTGATGTAAAGCGAGTAACAGTTAAAAATCACTATAAAGATAAAAACAAGCGTCAGGTAAAAATCCTTAAATAAGAGCTTATTAAAATTAAGTTCTCCATCATCTGACATAGTACATCAAATTGTTAAATGATAGTAAAACATAGTGAACTGCCAAGAGAGAATTCGCACACACACTGATGTAAATATTTACCCAATTTCAGTAGATCATGTTTAGCCTGGTGAAATTAAATTAGTTAATTGATTTATTGAGTCCGAGTAAGGAATTCGGGTTCCAGTAATTTGAGATTAATTCATCTAATATATGGATAATGCGGGATTAACTAGTGTTGCTGATTGACTGGGCAGGACTGTTTTTATGCGGTTAGACCAAAACATTATTCAAATATATTTTAAATATTAGATTGAAATGATTTTAAAGAAACCAGTGACAATAAAAAACAACTACTTCCACAAAACTTCAGTTTCTAAATTCAGACTTCTTTAAAATTGAAATCTGTGACAAAGCATGAGTTGAAATCACCATGTGATTTAATCTGCTGATTAAATCACCATGACATGATTGACTGAGAACATTGTAAAAAAAAAAGCAACCTTGAAAGGCAAAAATCAGAGGACTGATGTTAATTCATGATGAAAAGCTGTGAGCTGGAGAAGCACGTTCATGCAATATTTTTTAATAGAGAAAAGAGCTGAAGGTATGAATGAGGAAAAACTCGAGCCTTGGAGCGATACATCTCACCTGAAGAGAATCAGTGTGAGTGAGCTGAACGCAGAACGATCCAGCTGACTGTGGATGGCTGAAACACAGAAATGTTTGGAGGCTGGGGAACAGGGTGTGGTGGAGCCGCCAATCTCTACAGCATTACATGGATCAACAGGTGTGTCAGAGGATAGGACCTGAGCAGTAGCCAGAGCAGAGGATTCGAAGCTCATTTCGAGTTAAAACAGTGTCATCTGAATGCAGTCACACACATATCTGCCTCCTGAGCACAGGAGCAGACAGGTGCATATCAGAGGCCTTTTAAGATGAACTGTGGATACCGATTGGCTTTCGTGGAGGTGTGGTTCAAAGCTGATTGGCTGTGTCGCAGGTGGCTGTATGAAAAGCAATGAGTCTCTTCAGTTGAACTTCTGCCTAGGCTCCAGTTCAAAGTACTAGTCAGTGTAATTTGAATCATGGAACCTGTTCCTAGAAACTAAGCTCTGTGCTTTAAACAATAGTCCAATATTTCTTTCTACATTTCCCATCTGCACGTGGATGAAGAACACACAGTTGAAAACTGAGTGGCAGAAAAAGGAGAGGTAGATTCTTATAGGATAAAGGGACAAAGAGGAGACGAGAAGATATAAAAAGAACAAAGGCTTTTATAATGAAAAAGGAAACATATACAAAATATTTATTTCTGCTTTTATTTTTAATTACAACAGTTTTGGTCCTCCATATAAAAGTAGATCAAATATTCATGAATTTAATATAACAGTTCAGACACACCAATAAAATTGTTTTATTTGTGTTTTGTTGGTTATAAAACTACTTAAACCTAATATAACAAGATCCTCCACAGAGCAGAATATGGTGGGTTTTTATTACTCGCCCTAAAATTGTGAAATACAGTCGTCATTTCTTTGCAAGTAGACGTTTGGAGTCAGACTCTAACATAAAAATGACACTTAGAAATAATGTGAACAATTGACCCAAAACAAAACTGCACCTTAAAAGAAACATGATTCAATTGTACCAGATATGATCTAAGTTTATTTTTAATAAAGTTTATTTAACAACAGAAATGTAAAGTCGTAATTTGAACAGATCATAACAGATCAAAACTTAACTCTCCTCCCCACAGAACCCACTGATTTTGGGTGATCCTAAAAGGATCCGAGGCCAGTTTTATAATCCTTCAAGGTCTTCCCCAGGGGCTCATATCAGTGGGGCATACCTGAAGCACTCCTAAGGGACCCTCATCATTCTGAAGCACCTCAGCATTGTCCTCTAGAAGAAGAGGAGCATGAACAATAGAGTCTATGAACACATGCTAGGTCTATGTCAAAGAATGCCCATGTTCTAAAGCACTAACTGTACCATTGACATCAGTTGGCAAAACTGTCAGAGAAACCAAACCTCTCTGGAGTATTTTCTTTTAACAAAATGGGTCCCTTCCTTCATGAGGTTACAATTGAGACTGAAACTTTTTAAAAGACTCCTTACAAAAATTCACTAGGTCTCAGTTTTGAATAAAGAGCATAACATTTTCACAGAAATGCCATCAATCATTTAAGCAAGGAATAGGGTAATGAGGGAGGTCATCGGCAAAGCTGTTTTTTTTGTAAGACATGTTCAAAGAAGAGCAGTCCACATGTTTCAAGTCACTGTATAAATGTGAATCAGTATAAAAAGTCTGATTTTGCTGTATTTTTGCATTTTACAGGGCCTTGATTGATTCTCACATTTCCTTTTACATACCTGCCCAAATGATTTGTGTTCAAAGATTGATAAAACAGCATCATACCTTAAATATATCATATGATTGAAGTTTTACAAAAACGTTAGCGTCTGTTTTGATCTGAGAGTAAATGCTAATTAAGAAATAATAATATGGATTTATTCCAAGTAAAGATTTCAAGGGACTTTGTCTTTTGCAGGTATTGTGTTAACTGCTTATACAGTTTTACCATAATGAATTACAGACATGTAAAGGTTAGGTTTAAATTAATCTATTCATTTTACAAATGTTTTTTCTTATCCCCGAAAGTATTAATAATAAAGTTTTGGATTGACAGCTGGTCCACCTGTATAGGATACAGGTGGTGTAATGGCAGTACTCGAGTTGAGGGGTGTGGTAGAGGGATGGTATACCCCTTCTTAAAAAAATCTTTAAAATCATCCCCCTTCTTGAATGACCATCCCCCCATACCTTCCCATGTAACATTTTATCAATGAATGGGTACAGTTCTATTATATATTAACAGTAATGGCAATAATATTGCAGCTTGTTGAAAAAAAGGTCCACTGTTGGAGCAATCATTAGAAAATGGAATAAGCTAACCATGACTTTCAGTCTCCCTTGGACTCGGGCTCCATGAAAGAGGTCACCTCGTAGGGTCTCAATGAACCTAAGAAAGGTGAGAAATCAGCCGTTTTTAAGGTTACTGTTGGTAATACACTAAGATGTCATGCTTTGAAATCATGCATGGCAGGGAAGGTTCCCCTGCTTACTAACTAACCTTTGCACTAACCTCGTCATACATTTTTTATTTAGTTGAAAGTGGGGACGAATAGTTTGTAGAAGAGGACGCCAGGGCGGCAGAGGTTACGTTTGGTGTAGCAGGCTTACAGCCGTACATGTTTGAGCCCTTGCCTCACAATGCTGCGACATATGAATCTAGATGCTAAGACTGAAAAAATTACATTGACAGATGACTATTGATATATGATTGGCCAAATTTAGGTGTACAGGCTGAAATATAAAAATAAGGCAGGATTTTTCTAAATTTTGGCACAATATCATCTGAGAAAAAATGCATTCATAGGCTATATCTGTTTAAGCCAGAATGATTTGACATTTAAATATTATTTCCCTACGACTTTAAACCAGCACATGTCAAGGCCCATCTGAAGTTTGCAAATGACCATTTGGATGAATATAGAGGAGTCATGGGAGAAAGTCAGGTGGCCAGATGAGACCGAAATAGAACTTTTTGGTCATAATTCCATGTTTGGAGGAAAAAGAATGATGAGCACCATTCCAAGAACACCATCTCTGCTGTGAAGCATACAGGGTGGTATCATCATGCTTTGGGGGTGTTTTTCTGCAAAATCACTGCAGTGAGTACAACCCTGGTGAAAAACTACAGGATTACTACATTTTACCTCTGTAATTGCAAACAAAGGCTAATGTACCAAATATTAACATTGATTCGCCCAGGTTTTTAAATACCTTTTTGCAGATACAGTACATCATAGAAATAAATAGTAAAAAAAATCATATATTGTTTTTTTTTGTTTGTTTTTTATTTAGATTATGTCTCTCTCAGTGGACATGCACCTACGACGACCGCTCCATGAAGTAGGACAACTTGCAAAATAGCAGTTTGTTAGTTGATATATAAAATGTACAAACAATTTTGTGATTGTAAATTACTGGGCTAAAATATTCGGGCTAAGCAAGTTAGCACCTCCCACAGAAGTTTCAAAGATGATAAGTAAAAATAAAAAAGAACCAGTAAAAAAAAAAAAAAAGAGGAATAAGACTCTGAGAGTGCACAGAATACAGTATGAACATTGGTGTTTACCTATAGCTTTACACTATACCTTAGGTTGCATCATCTTTTAGCCCACAGGGCTGTCGCTTTACGACAAGACACTGCAGGATGATTTCTTATTTCAGGCTCTAGTGGCTATTTTTTGTCATTTTTGAAAGCAGGCAAAGAGGAACTTAGAAATGGGAAGACATGCAGCAAAATCTCCAGGCTGGGACCCCGACCTGCGATGGCCGCATCGAGGACTAAAGCATACGTTCATACTGTAGGTCATGTGTTAACCCCTGTGCTTCCGCCAGATCCCGTGATTGGGCTCCTTTAAGTAGCAGCATTTATTGTTGCAATCTAGTTTAGTTTTTATTTCTGCAATTATGCATTCAGCAGCTGCATGTTTCATGTGGCATGTCTCTTTTTTACAGTCTACGGTCAGCCTAAACATGTAAAAGGTTAGAATGGTTTTAAAATTACATTTTATTTTTGCCCTGCCCTGCTATTCAGGTAATTTCAAATTTCTGGTTAGTCTTGATTATTTCAATACAGCCTTGTCATGTCTGATGAAAAAAAATTAAAAATAACACCAAAAAAAAACAAAGCAGGAAATTTTACAATGTCTTTTGATTTACCCCAAAAAAAGACCTCCAATGATCACAGCTGAGGTGGTTCTATATGATTCAAAGAGGCTGAATATACAACTGTATGCCAAACTACTCAGCGTTTAGTATTTTTTGAAAATTCTATTTTTTTAAATTATTTTCACCTCCTTGCTCTACATTACTATTTGATGGTTTCTAGCATAGATTTACCAGAATGCATTAAAATCTGAAATATTCAAGGATTATTAATACTTATGAAAGCCACTCCATATAACCCCATTACAAGTCCATTAATATACCTTTCTTGACAGAAAAAGACCAATTAAAAGACAATAAGTTACTTTCATAGAAAAGAGCTGCTTACAAATTATTGGCTAGAGTAAAGCTCCACATTAAATCACATTGTGTCATTCTGGCTCACTCAAGAGACTCCAAACTTCAGGCTGATGAGCCCTCAGAGGACAAACTGTCCTTAAATCTCATTATTCAAAACCAGATCTGTGGTTTTATGCCGTGCTCTTTTTGGATAAGTTACGCAAATTCCACTTTGTGAACAGCGAGAGAGTTTGATAATTATATGCTCATTCACAAAGCATGACTAATCCCTTTCTTAGCCCAAGGATGAACTGCTGCTTGTAATATTTTCAGCTGATGCAAAAAATATGATGAGGATCCAAAACAGTGTAACTTAAGGTTCCTCTGACAATTAAGACTCACATTAAAAATCTTTTGTGAAATTTATAGGATTGACTTAACCCTTTCAAAGTTACTCTGCCCTAAGTGTCATCTTCCAGTTGGAAGGTAAACATCTACATAAAACTTAAGTTTTCTGCTGCCTTCATCAGTATTCTCTTCAATTTCACTCTACAGAAGAAAAGCACACAGAAAGTTCGGTGTGGTTGTGATTGTCCTTGTGAGGGTGGTCACTGCTCCCCCCTCACCTTGTGTTACTCGAAAATGGTGAAATTTCATTGCTGCACCCAAAAAGTGATTGGTTGTGACATATGTTAAAGAAGTGCTGCCAAGGCTAACCTTTTTCAAATTAATCGGAATATAGAGAAAATTATGGTTATAAAAAATTAATAAGGAATGCTCTGGAGAGGGTTGTACAGAAGGTGGCTTTTTAATTTAGCCCTAGAAGGACTGTTAGATGTCCTTCCTTACCTCCAGCACAGAGACCAGTCAGTGGTTGCCTTTTCCTGGCATTGTTGCACTCAATGTGTGTAGATCTACAGTACAAGAAAACAACAAATCCAACCATCATCCACATGCAGCTCTGCATGAACCAAGGTGATGTACTTTTTCAGCACTTGTGGGACTTTTTCAAAAACTGATGGTCTCTCCAAGCAGATTCAAATATTGTGCCAACAGAGCAATTTTGTAGCAATGTGTAATATTAACTTTCACCTGGGCTTTTATTGTGAAGGGCAGTTAGTGAGACCTTGATTGGAAATACTAGCAGATCCAAACTGAAGGATTTGAGAGGCTCATAAATTACAAAAGATTGTGAAACAATCCTCCCACCAACTCAATAAGGTAAACATGTGCACAGTTACAGTATATTCAATGCCAGAACAGGAATGACACACTCTGTTACACAATAACTTTATATTGGGAAACGTTTGCAGCACCAACATCTGCTCGGATGGTGACATCATCGGCTGAAATATAAAATGACTATATGTTAAAATCCAGATCAGCACAAATAACAGTTTTACCTGCACAAATCAAGTAGCACTGAAAAAGTAGATAATTTTGATTTGATTCAAAGATTAATGGGAGGATACTTAACCTCTGGATGTGTCATGATCTTGGCGCTGATGACTGGCTTTATCACTCATTTCATCCACCTGTCTAACCCTGCCCAGTTTCTTATTACTGCTCATCTGCTCCACCTGCTCCTGCCTTGATTTAACCTGCCTGCTACCAGTAAGAGCCAGATTATTCTGGAATCAGTGGGAAGAGCGTGTGCAGTGTAACCTTAGTGTTTTTGAAAACCTGTTCTGACTTTTAACCACTGGGCCTGCCTGTTCCTGTCTGATCTGTTTGCCTGACCTGTCTTTGGACTCCTGCTAGATTCTACCTGTTTACTGAACTTAGAGCTGCTTCCTGTCACCAACCTATCTTTTTCTTCGACATCTTTCCTTCTGATCTCCTGGTTCTGAACCCTGAGCACATCCTCAGCACCGGCTTTGGCTTCACCCTCTGGATTATCCTGCCTTCCTTCAACTGCTTGGATCTGAACTCCTGCTTGTTCTAAGTCCTCTGGGACTACAGGGACTCTAGGAGCGGCCGCTGCCGCATCTTGTCAGTCAACTGGCTGGGATCAACCATGTTCTCCAGACACAAACTGAACTGTAAAACCAGGTAAGTGACTCACGCTAACCTGTCAGATTATTGTGGTCATTAACCTGTGTTTCTCTCCTGCAGAGGTTCCTTCATTAGATGTCACAGCTGCTGTAACTGCAGATCCATGTTTTAATAAACGCCTTTTGAGTAATCCCACTGTCAGTCTAGCATAGAATACTGGGTCCTCTGTTCTGAGCCATGACAGGATGACCTAAAAGATCATCTTTAATATCTCCAAAGTAAAAGCAGCACAAATTATCTTTTTTCTTTTTGATATGATTTTTTTAACTGCACAAACCAGCACTAAAAAGAAGCACTAACCATTCAGTCTCTTTTCTGTCTTTTCATGTGGGTGAGGTATCAGCTTCAGGTCAAGCTCCTCCTATTTGATGACTGTGCATCTAAAATGCACAGTGGAGAACTCAAAGAAGTCACTTCGGACACCGCGCTAGATCTAAATAAAACTTTAGATTATCATCTATATAGCACCCATTTAGCTGTGCTGCATGGTGAAGCAGCTCAACTTTTTGCTGCACTAAGATGGTGGGATGATTTAGAGGATAACGTCTTTGTGAGTTAATGCACTTCGTAGAGATAAGTTTTAATATTCCTCAGAGAGGTACCAGAACGTATTTAAAAGCTCTTCTAGCAGCACACATTCCTGAATGCTGGATTTCATTAAAAACAGAAAGCCACATCCCATCTACCCTTCACTTCATTAAAACAAAGCAGTAAATATTCTCATAGCATGTCAGAGCGAAATATACACTCACCGGCCACTTTATTAGGTACCCCATGCTAGTAACGGGTTGGACCCCCTTTTGCCTTCAGAACTGCCTCAATTCTTGGTGGCATAGATTCAACAAGGTGCTGGAAGCATTCCTCAGGGAGTTTGGTCCATATTGACATGATGGCATCCCACAGTTGCCGCAGATTTGTCGGCTGCACATCCATGATGCGAATCTCCCGTTCAACCACATCCCAAAGATGCTCTATTGGATTGAGATCTGGCGACTGTGGAGGCCATTTGAGTACAGTGAACTCATTGTCATGTTCAAGAAGCCAGTCTGAGATGATTCCAGCTTTATGACATGGCGCATTATCCTGCTGAAAGTAGCCATCAGAAGTTGGGTACATTGTGGTCATAAAGGGATGGACATGGTCAGAAACAATACTCAGGAACGCTGTGGCGTTGCAACGATGCTCAATTGGTACCAAGGGGCCCAAAGAGTGCCAAGAAAATATTCCCCACACCATGACACCACCACCACCAGCCTGAACCGTTGATACAAGGCAGGATGGATCCATGCTTTCATGTTGTAAACGCCAAATTCTGACCCTACCATCCGAATGTCGCAGCAGAATTCGAGACTCATCAGACCAGGCAACGTTTTTCCAATCTTCTATTGTCCAATTTCGATGAGCTTGTGCAAATTGTAGCCTCATTTTCCTGTTCTTAGCTGAAAGGAGTGGCACCGGTGTGGTCTTCTGCTGCTGTAGCCCATCTAGCTCAAAGTTCGACGTACTGTGCGTTCAGGGATGCTCTTCTGCCCACCTTGGTTGTAACGGGTGGTTATTTGAGTCACTGTTGCCCATCTATCACCTCGAACCAGTCTGGCCATTCTCCTCTGACCTCTGGCATCAACAAGGCATTTCCGCCCACAGAATTGTCGCTCACTGGATGTTTTTTCTTTTTCGGACCATTCTCTGTAAACCCTAGAGATGGTTGTGCGTGAAAATCCCAGTAGATCAGCAGTTTCTGAAATACTCAGACCAGCCCTTCTGGCACCAACAATCATGCCACGTTCAAAGTCACTCAAATCCCCTTTCTTCCCCATACTGATGCTCAGTTTGAAATGCAGGAGATTGTCTTGACCATGTCTACATGCCTAAATGCACTGAGTTGCCGCCATGTGATTGGCTGCTTAGAAATTAAGTGTTAACGAGCAGTTGGACATGTGTACCTAATAAAGTGGCCGATGAGTGTATATCTTTTAATGATAGTTTTACATCTCTTGTTTTTACATATACTATACATATTTTTTTTCAATTCGGTAAACTAATATGCTCTTGTTAAACAAGTGTAGTAACGTTTAAGAGAAAATCTTATGTTTATTCAGTATTTAATACACCTGGGGCAATAAATGAATTAATTGATTCAAAAATCCCAAAATCCTTGGGTTTTTTTGTTGTTGTTTTTTTTTTTTTTTTTCTGTGGTACAATCTCTTGCACTTACTCTCTGATAAAAAAATTCTCTTCTGTATAATTTGTTTTGGTACTATGTTCCAGATGACTGATATACTGGTCTGATACATCCTTCTATTTCTAACCGACAGTAATAACTATAATATCAGCCAATGTGGCCAATACAGTATATTTATTAGGCTAATTATTTGCTAGCAGTTAGTATTTATGCTTCTCATTTCATAGTAGCTTCTAGTTTTTGCAGATAATTATCATGTGTACACCTGTTATCAGTCAGCTGCTGAAGCCTTTCATAGTCTCTTGATCTCCCTGTCTTTGCTTCAACATCAGAAAGCTTAAAAATCTTTATCTTTAGATATTTAAATGTTTTTCCCTAAGACATATGACGTGAGGCAATATGACAAAAAATAAATTGTTTTAAACCTTTTAAACAAAAACAGCAGTATACAAAGGCATTGTTGTTGATCAGCCCTTATAAACAAACAGAAACCTGTTTCCAGATGACCTGCAATGTGGTGCACTTGTTTGACTGATTGAGATATCTAAATGAGTCACTCATTTATAAATATAAAATGTTTGTGTATGAAAAGGAACAGAGAGAAACCTAAATCTTTCCCTAGTGACATTAAATAAATATTAAATGCAAGATAATTACAGCCGTATTTCAAAAACACAAAACACTAAAATCAGATTAGATCACTGCCAAGACTGTTCTATAAACTGTCACATTTATGTGAAATGTTTTTAAGTCACCCCTTCAAGCCCTATTGTTTTCACGACTTGTAAAACTGTCAGTCTTGTTGTGACTTTATTATAACATTCATTTATTTTCTATCACTAGTCAAGTGGGCTCCATTTTGGGTAGTTGGCATAAGTAGTTGTCCTTTGATCATATCTTCCTAACTGAGCAGTGGATCTCTGAAGCTCTCCTATGGTTGTCCTGGATACCTCTCTGATTTCTGGTCTGCTTGGTGCACAGGCCCATATCTTGGAATTTTTACAGCTGTGTCATACGCATTAATGAAGGGTTATAGGCAGGGTTATTATTTTAAAACCTTTAAGCACATCCACAGCTGTTGATCTGGCCTGTCATCTATTTGCCTTGGTTTTTATGATGCAGCTCGTTCACCATTCCTATCTACTAAACCTTTTGGGCATTTAAAGGACAAGCTGGATTTATGCAGTAATCCGATTGTAGAGTTGTATCAATTTCCTAACTTTGAATATCTTTTAATGACAGTTGCTTGAACTGCATTTTATTAAGTGGTAAGGTGGTAAAGGTTGTTGAAATACTTTCCCGCTGATTAGATATGCACCGTTACAAAATTGCACCCAAGTACAGTTTTTTCTTCCACTTCACAACAATACAGTCTTTTGTGTTCTTTTCTCATAGACAGTGCATATGAATTACATTGGATTATTTCAGTTGAGATGAAAAAAGAAAATACAAATCAAGGGGTGTCAAACCGAAAGCTTTGACCAATAGATGGCAGTATTGTGTGAGGGGATTCAGCTCCTATATAGTATGTAAACTATTCTATTTTTAGCTTATGCGTGTGGCAAAGCTGAAATGTAACCAAAACAATAAATATAATTGTCTTTACTGGTATGGTATCAGAATGGTGTTGCTTTCAAAGACTGGCGGTCCAATGGTAAACTCACCAGTTCACTATTTAGATGTCTCTGAGATTACTATCACAAGATTCAGCAGGTTTCATTATGTGGTTCATTTATACATTTTCAACTATTATGGGTACTAACTTAGATGGTGGATCAAGAACAAAACAATCTGAGAACACAGTATTCTGCAAAAACATATTTTCTGTAATAACTTACAGTCCGAAAGGACTAAATGAGAACAGAAAAATGGCTCTTTATCTATCTAAACTAAATAAAAGGGTTAGCAACTCTACTGGTATGATGGGTAGCAGTTTATTTTTCTTTCAAGAGGTTACATTATTGTTTTAAAGCTCATCATGGCCTCTCAGTGTTTGATTTATCTGACCTAATAATTTCTTAACAGTCAATAAGCCGGCTGTAAAGATCTCTGAATTAAAGAGGCTTTCTAAAGTTGAAGGAAAACATTATAACTGATTTTCTATCACAGTCTCACAATCATGTGAAGAAAACACGGCAGAAAATACAGTTAACAAATTAACAAAACCATCTGCCTGCGGAGAAGCTCTTTTAATAATCTGGGTTCAAAAACGTAAGCTTGATCCAGAGTTCCCCATTTTAATAAAATTTTTTGAAATATTAACTTAACATTCATGGGAGTAAACCTTGGTTCACAATTGAGTAACATTACAAAAATACATCAACATACTCCTGCAGTTATATCTTCCTTAGATAATGATGTTAAACTATGTAGTAGCAGGAGAAAATGGGACCAAAATGCTGATTGAAGAGATAGAGATTAAAAATATGTTTGTGTCTCCAGAAAAAAGAAACAAAAAAACAGAGAAAATCCCTAACTAAATAAATGAATAAATTAATAATTAATAAGTTTAAGGACACCTGTAATTCACAAATAAAGCCTAGTGGGTGTTTCTGTTCCCTAAGTTCTGATCCTAATACATTCTGAAAAAGCAGCCTGAGTGCATAAATGGTTAACCTCTTTTATGCACACAGCACAGTAATCACAAAAGAAATCATATTTCTAATATGAACAAAAAAACACATGAAAAAAAGCTCTATTATAAACATACCTGCTCCAAGAGAATGAAAGTTTCTTTGAACTGAAGGTAAT